CTGGGTGATATGCGTCACATTCTACCGCTGTTACAAAAACCAGCCACTGGAGGGGACGGAATGCCACATAAATAGGCAATAAATAGGGGAGGCTGGCTTCCCTTCCCCTGGGCGGCCATGTGGCCAGGCTGCCGCCAGCGCCAGGCGACGTGGGTGTACTCGGTTTGATCAACTCTGGGAGCTCCCTCTCCCCGAGGCCTGAGGGCAAGGCTGGAGGGTCCCAGCCTTCGCTAGGCTGACACTCCCTGTCCCTCCAGACTCCCTGCAGAGCCAAGCCACAAGGTGCTGCAGGTCCCTGCAAATCACAGTCTGTCCACTCGTCCCCACTCCAGGGACCTGCAGGTGCTTGTTGGAAGCTCTGGAATCCATGGGGCAGAGCTGGGCCTCAGGTTTCAGGGCAGGGGCTGTTGTGCATTGGGACTGACAGGCTCTGGGAGGGGACAGCAGGCTTCAGCAGAGGGGAGGTCCAGGGAGGGGAGGGCGGGGGGATAGAATGTTCAAAGGAGCCATGACCTTCCACGCCAGCCACTGAAGCCCTGAACATCTCGATTTCAATCCACTGGAGTGGCCATCTGCTCCCATCTTCAGAGGGGCCAAGTTCGAGTGTGCCAGAAGGTCACCCAAGATCCCACACCAGGGCTGGAAGGAGCCTGCACCATGACCAGGTGGGCCCCTCCCTTCACAGCAGAGCTGACCGGTTCCACCCTGGCTGGACACCCCTTCTTTAGGGGGCGCAAGTCCTGGCTGTGATGGGCTGAGCCATTTGTGAAAGACGGAGGCTAGCAAGTTAACAGCAGCCAGCCAGGGCCCACTTAGGAGGGAGGTGACACACCAGAGCAGGGGGACTTAGGTGCAGGCTCTCCCTGCTCCAGGGCTCAGGGCTCCCCAGGGCCAGACTAGCAGGGAGGACTTAGCCCTAGAATCAGGCAGGCCCAGGCTTGGAGGGACCAGGAGAGCTGGTGGGGAGGGTGAGGACGAAGAGGCCGTCAGGGAGAGTGGAGCCAGGCCGTCCTGAGAGCTGGGGCACCTGCAAAGCACATCACAGGAGAGGGTCACTGCCTGCTATAGGGCCCCTCCCCACCCTGCCCTGGGCACAACTTGCTCAAACGTCCTGTCCAGGCAGTGTCTCAGCGCCCTGGGCTGGCCTCTGCCCCTAGGACAGCTTCTGCACCACCGTGTCCTCTGCAGCCCACATCCCGCCATCACATCCTACAGCTGCATCCTGCAGCCGCATCCCACCACTGCATCCCGCAGCCACGGCTGTGCACCACGTGCCTGCGGAGGAGGTCCAGGGGCCAGGCCCAGGGACCCTGGCCGGCCAGGCAGGTGGTCAGTGCTCTCATCAGGCTCTGCCTTCCGCTCCTCCTCACAGACCCCCACGCCCACCCGGGCACCTTGACCCTAGCCCGCCCTCCCAGTACCTGGGTCAGAGCAGCAGCTGGTCACTCCCACAGGAAGCGCACGTACCAGATGGTCTCGTTCTTCAGCTGGGGCCCGAATAGGGGGTTCAGCTGAGCCAGGATGGCAATGAGCCAGCTGCAGGGACAGCAAGGCGGGTGAGCCTGGGCAGGAGAGACCCCTGCATGCCACACTCCCAGGGTGGATGCAGCTGACCAAGCAGCCTTCTCAGGATGGGGGGCCCTGGGACTCCTCCACACCCCAGCAGGCACCTGGGGCAGGACGGCATTTGTGGGTGTGGTCTGGTTTGATTCTCTACAGATGCGTAATGTCCCCAAGTTGGAGCTGGATCTGGGATTCAAGAAGAGGTGAGGCAGCACCGGGGGCATCATGGGAGCACTCCCGCCTGTGCTACCGCATGGTCCAGTCTCGACCCATCTCCACGGCACCAGGCAGCCTCTGTGAGGAGCCACGTCAAGGCCACTCCCTCTTAGCAACAAGACAAAGGAACCACGCTGAGCCCCAGGGAGAGGGTGAGCAGAAAGCTTCCTGCCCAGGTGGCTGCTCAGCCACCTCCTCCTTCAGGCCAGCGAGCACTCGAGCACTCCCGGGACCTGACCCTACGTCCCCAGCAGCTGGGTGTCTGGTGCCTGCCTGCCCGGCCTGGCCTTCAGAACGAGATTTCCCAGACTGGGGAAGACTCCGGAATGGCCCACATGGCCCTGCCAGTGGTGCTTTCCTTCTGCAGGAAGGACCAATCTGGTTCACCCTGACCTCCCACAGTTGTCAGAGGAGTCCCCGTGCTGGGAAGCCACCAGAACGCCTTCCCTGCTGTCCACTGGCACCTCCTCTGAGTTTAGGTTTTGTATATGTAATTTCTAGGCATGGCTTCTTCTTTTTTATTTTTAAAGAATTGGGACCAGCAGTTAGCATAATGGTTCTATCACTGGACTCCCATGTAGTCGACCGCGGTTTGAGTCCCGGACCTGGTAGCTTAAACTCACGCCGAGCGCGTGTGCATGCGTGCCCAAGATCCCAAGAGAAGAATGGAGAAGGGATTGAGACGTGGCTGTAGGGTGTGATTTCTTGCTTTCTGTCTCTCTGTCTCTGTCTTTCTGGTGAGCACATGTGCCCTATAGCAAACACCTCTCAAAAATTATTTATTTAATTCCATTTGTTATTATTATTTTTTTAATTTGACCAGACAGAGATAGACAGACAGAGAAAAGGAAAGAGAGAAAGCAAGCCACCAGGTCTGGGACTCGAACCATGGTTGGCCATGTGGGAATCCAGAGTCCTTATCCACCACACCACCTGCCAGTCCCAGGTATGGCCTCTCCTTAAAGCAGGCAGCGTGGGCCTGCCTTCCCTTCCCCATATGCTGATGTGCTATGTGTAAGCATCCGACCCCAGACACCACCCTTTATGTCCCGGTGCCTGAGCCATCAGACCCGGGCCCTCAGAGGTCCTCCCGGGCAGATTCTGCCGAGGACAACCCAGCATTAGAGAAAGGGCCTCAGAGAGAATGCCCAGGGAGAATGCTGAGAAGACAATGTGTCCTCCTGTACTTACGTTAATGTCTGACTCATCATCATGTTTGTAATTGTGAGAAAGTGTGTGTGCTAGCCAGAGAGAGAGACAGAGCGAGAGAGAAAGGCAGAGGGAGAAGGCACCCCAGGAGGTGTGGTCGGGCTGCAGTCCCTCTCCTCCAGCTCTCCATTTGCTGGGATTTGGGGCATCACACCCACATGTGCACCTGGCGTGTTTATCAAGCTACCAGGGCTGGGTCTCAAACCATGCAGCTGGCCAAGTGGGATCCGGCTCCCACTAGGGCATAGGTTGGCCCCATCATTGTTTTTTAAGTTACATTTTTTTCTTAGAAGGCAGCAGAAAACATTAAGCATTATATAAGGAGAATAAGACAGAATCAGGTGGCAGGAATAAACAGTTCACCAACTAATCAGATAAACCAGGTTTTAACTACAGTAACACATGCACCAAATTTGAAATTGATTGATTTTCTCTTTTTAAGAGAGATTTTTGCTATAGGGCACATGTGCTCACCACAGAGACAGAGACAGAAAATGAGAAATCACTCCCCACCCCCTGGGGTCATGACACAATTCCTTCTCCTCCATCCTCCTCTCGGGATTTTAGGCGTGCATGCACATGCACACAGACACACGCACACACGGTCAGTGTGAGTTTTAAGCCTCTAGGTCCAGGACTTGAACTGTGGTTGGCCACGGAGGACTCCAGTGACGTAACCATTACGCTATCTGCTGGTCCTGAGCTCGAGTTGATTTTGTCCTATGTATTTTGAAAATTGTGGCAGTCCTTAGAGACAGAACAGTTGCATTTGATTGACTCTGTTACCTTGGAAAGAATCAGCAACCCATCACTTTGTTCTGTTTTGAATGTTTGAGTTAATGACACGCAACTATGTCAAGCTTAACCAATAAAAGTAATGCATAAAACACAGGAAGATGAGAAAACCTACAGGCTGATTGCAACTCATTGCAACTCCCTAAAGAAACCACAGTCTAAGGGCCAGCCGTGTGACCTCACAGTTAAGGGAGCCTGATCCCACGTGGTTCGAATCCCGGTTCCAACGGCTCGATAAAACAAGCCAGGTGCATGTGCATGCCCCAAATCCCACAGGATGGAGAGGAGAAGGGACTGCAGCTGCCCAAGATCCCAAGAGAAGAATGGAGAAGGGATTGAGACGTGGCTGTAGGGTGTGATTTCTTGCTTTCTGTCTCTCTGTCTCTGTCTTTCTGGTGAGCACATGTGCCCTATAGCAAACACCTCTCAAAAATTATTTATTTAATTCCATTTGTTATTATTATTTTTTTAATTTGACCAGACAGAGATAGACAGACAGAGAAAAGGAAAGAGAGAAAGCAAGCCACCAGGTCTGGGACTCGAACCATGGTTGGCCATGTGGGAATCCAGAGTCCTTATCCACCACACCACCTGCCAGTCCCAGGTATGGCCTCTCCTTAAAGCAGGCAGCGTGGGCCTGCCTTCCCTTCCCCATATGCTGATGTGCTATGTGTAAGCATCCGACCCCAGACACCACCCTTTATGTCCCGGTGCCTGAGCCATCAGACCCGGGCCCTCAGAGGTCCTCCCGGGCAGATTCTGCCGAGGACAACCCAGCATTAGAGAAAGGGCCTCAGAGAGAATGCCCAGGGAGAATGCTGAGAAGACAATGTGTCCTCCTGTACTTACGTTAATGTCTGACTCATCATCATGTTTGTAATTGTGAGAAAGTGTGTGTGCTAGCCAGAGAGAGAGACAGAGCGAGAGAGAAAGGCAGAGGGAGAAGGCACCCCAGGAGGTGTGGTCGGGCTGCAGTCCCTCTCCTCCAGCTCTCCATTTGCTGGGATTTGGGGCATCACACCCACATGTGCACCTGGCGTGTTTATCAAGCTACCAGGGCTGGGTCTCAAACCATGCAGCTGGCCAAGTGGGATCCGGCTCCCACTAGGGCATAGGTTGGCCCCATCATTGTTTTTTAAGTTACATTTTTTTCTTAGAAGGCAGCAGAAAACATTAAGCATTATATAAGGAGAATAAGACAGAATCAGGTGGCAGGAATAAACAGTTCACCAACTAATCAGATAAACCAGGTTTTAACTACAGTAACACATGCACCAAATTTGAAATTGATTGATTTTCTCTTTTTAAGAGAGATTTTTGCTATAGGGCACATGTGCTCACCACAGAGACAGAGACAGAAAATGAGAAATCACTCCCCACCCCCTGGGGTCATGACACAATTCCTTCTCCTCCATCCTCCTCTCGGGATTTTAGGCGTGCATGCACATGCACACAGACACACGCACACACGGTCAGTGTGAGTTTTAAGCCTCTAGGTCCAGGACTTGAACTGTGGTTAGCCACGGAGGACTCCAGTGACGTAACCATTACGCTATCTGCTGGTCCTGAGCTCGAGTTGATTTTGTCCTATGTATTTTGAAAATTGTGGCAGTCCTTAGAGACAGAACAGTTGCATTTGATTGACTCTGTTACCTTGGAAAGAATCAGCAACCCATCACTTTGTTCTGTTTTGAATGTTTGAGTTAATGACACGCAACTATGTCAAGCTTAACCAATAAAAGTAATGCATAAAACACAGGAAGATGAGAAAACCTACAGGCTGATTGCAACTCATTGCAACTCCCTAAAGAAACCACAGTCTAAGGGCCAGCCCTGTGACCTCACAGTTAAGGGAGCCTGATCCCACGTGGTTCGAATCCCGGTTCCAACGGCTCGATAAAACAAGCCAGGTGCATGTGCATGCCCCAAATCCCACAGGATGGAGAGGAGAAGGGACTGCAGCATGACCAGCCCCGTGGGGAGTGCTTGCTCCCGCTCCCTTTCTCTCTGGCCAGCACGCAGGCACTCTGGCAATTAACAGCCAGTCAGAACTTGAACTTATCCCTGGGCTTGGCAGCCAGGATGATTTCCACAGCAGGCCTGGGATGCATGTGAACAGCTGCTGGAACGGCGGTGCTGGGAGGAGAGCACGTGGACTCCACTCGCTCACTCATCCCCCGGCGAGTTCTGCTCCACTCCAGGGCACCTGGGCCTGCTTCTCACTGGCCACAGCCCATCCACTTGGGCGGCCGGTTAACACCTGGCTCCCATGCAGACCTTCAGAGCTGAGACTCAGGGGGTCCGGAGTGGGGCCCCAGAAGCCACGTCTGAACAGTCTCTCCAGGAGGTTCTGACACCTGGTCAGGTGCAGACACCTCCATTTCACCTGTGAGTCACTGCAGCCCGGGGCCTGCAAAGCTTGTCCGGGTGCCATGGCAGGGCAGAGCCAGCACGGCCAGAGTTCATGACTTCCAGGTGCTGCCCTTCCATGCCACCCGCCTCCGCTGGGTGTGGTACAGACTCAGACGGAGGGGTGGGCGGAGATGGAGGGAGGACGAAGGACCCCGCTGGACCTGAGCAGGGGCCGTGGGGAGGGGAGGGGAGCCATACTCACAACAGGTAACAGCAGACGGCGGTGGCGACCAGCATGGTGATGATCACTCTGCAACAGGAGAGGGCGTGGTCAGGGCTGCACCCTGAGGGCAGCACAGGGCCAGAGGAAGTGCGCCCCTGACAACCTGTCCACTGGCATTGAGGTGCCACCTGGACACAGTGGGCTGGAGTCTACTCAGAACGGCAAGATGGGAACTAACTTTAAGTGCCACTCAAGGGGAGGCCAACCTTGACCCCATCCAAGTTACATGAGGAATCCTTCCCTCTTTTTATAGAACAAAATCTTTTATTTACAAAAATATTTTTGCCAGAGGGCACATGTGCTTGTCAAAAAGAAGGGGGGAGAGAAAGCACCCTCCCCTGGGCGTGGTCACGCCACACTTCCCTTCTCCGTTTCTCCACCCTGGCAGGATCTCGGCCATCACATGGAGTGTTTTTCAAGCCTCAGGGGCCAGGATTCGAATCACACGTCAGTCATGTGGGAGCTGGTGGGGGAACCTTCGAAATAGAATACTGCCTAAAGAACGGTCAGTACACGCGAGAGTGGTCAGTGTCTGAAACGCGCTATTTCACAGCCGCCTTAGGAGGCAGAGGCGGCATCGCCGTATTACCTACGGAGAAAGCGATGCTTGACATCTGCTCAAGGTCACACCGCTGGTGAGGGGTGGAGACACTGCACCCACGCCCATCCTTGCCCTCTGCCGCTGCAGGAGGGTTGGCATGTTGCCGACCTTCCCCTCTGCCCCTGCACGCTCGCCCCGACCTCCTGCCTGCTCCCGGGCAGGTGCATTCCTCGCTGCAGCGCAGAAAGCCGCCTGCCAGTGTGGACAGCCGAGGGGCCGCAGGGGGGCCAGGCCTACGCGCCTTCCTTACCCGCGGTTGGGTCCCTTCGGCACGAACCAGGGCCCGGCGATGCCGATGAGGCCCCAGAACGTGGTGAAGATGATAACCGGGAGCGCAAAGGAGTGCGCTGTCATGGCCGGGCGCGGGATGCCCAGGAGGGATGCAAAGCCGAGCTGCAGACGTTCCAACAGCACCGATCCTGAGCCAGGCTGTATTCGCCAAGCATGCGCAACAGGGTGCAAGACGCCGAGACGCTCGACCTGCCCGATCTGCGCATGCGCGTTTTCTGACCCGGCCGGTCGCCTCTCAGCGGCAGGGGCGGGCCTTCGATTAGTCCATCCCCTTTTCTCAGAGTGGACCTTATCCATCCTTTCAACCTTCCTGCAAGTATCAAATACCATCCTAGCCTTCTAGGAGTGTCTAATCTAGTGGAGCGCCATATTCTGCTAAAACCATAATGTTGGCCAGGCTAAGCTAAGAGCCCTGTGATCAAACTAGTTCATGTCTGGTATGAGAATTCAGAGAATGGAAAGATCAGGGAAGGCTCCCTAGAGGAGGTGTGAAGAATGGTTAGGATTCCCATCAAGAGTATGCACTTGAGCACACTGGTCCAGGGTAACTGTGCACTTGCCATCCTTGGGATAGAAAAGATTGGTCCACACAATCCTTTAAAAAAAAAATCCTCGTGAAAACTCTTCTCTCTCCAGTTTAAAAAACGAATTCCCGGGACAAGCAGTTAGCATAATGGCTATGTTGCTGGACTCCCATGTAGTTGACCGCAGTTCGAGTTCCAGACCCGCTTAAACTCACGGCGGGTGCATGTGCGTGCGTGCCCAAGATCCTGAGAGGAGAATGGAGAAGGGATTGTGGCGTGACCATCCCCCCTGGGGGGTGATTTCTCACTTTCTGTCTCTCTGTCTGTATGGCGAGCGCACACGCCCTATAGCAAAAACCTCTCAAAAAGAAAAA